ACCACTGTGTAACATCTGGATTTCAAATGCCTAAATATATTCAGATAATCATCTATGGGTTCAGTGAACTTTCTCTTGACACTGGCTAATTCCTTCAAGCTTATTTTTGAATGTCCCATGTAAAACTGTTCATGGAATAGCCTCTCCAAAAGAGCCCAAGTATCAATGGACCCAGGAGGCAAAGTGGTGAACCATGTGAAGGCGTTTTTAGTCAGGGAACTTGGGAAATATTTGATCCTGAGGTCTTCATTATTGGCTATATCTCCCGCTTCGGTTAGATATCTGGCTATATGTTCGACTGTTGACTCATTGGTATCCCCAGCGAACTTTGTAAACTTAGGGACTTTATATCCCCTTGGTAAATCAGTATGCATTATGCAATCTAATATAGGAGAAGCATAATTTGGCCTTCTAATTCCTGTGTTGAGGCCATTCTGGGCCATGACTCTCTCTATCATGGTGGTTAAATTGTTTTCTGCCAAGATGTTATCGTTTCGAATTCTATGAACGACTGCATCAGCATCTTGATTTCGACCCACCATGACAACCCCCCTAGGTTGTTCTTCTCGAAACTCTGGGACTTCCAGCCTTTCGACCATTGCCCCTGGTTCCATAATTTCTCTTTGTGGGCCTGGGATCATTGGGGCTTCTAGCCTTTGTACCCTTGCCCCCAAGTTAACTTCTTCTCTAGGTGGTCTATAGGTTGGGTCGTTAGCAACTTGTTCCATAATAGGTATGTTTGCTCGAACTCCCGCCTGATTCTGCCTACGCCTCTCTGGGGGAGCAAAGAAATCTTCTATTCGACTCATGTTATCTGCGTTTTCTCTGTTTGTCACAGTCACATTTTGTACTATTGGGGCAAATATTTCCTGCATAGTTTGCGCTAACACCCCTATCATGTTATGGTTACTGTCATCCATCAATTGCCTAAAGGCCAACTGGTTTTCTGTGGTTAAAATAGGCATTGCGCTATAACCCACTGACCCTTGGTTATTTGTCATAAACTGATTCTCCCCAGACCCAGACCCTAATTGTGGTGATGAATTCGATGTGGAATTGTGTAAACCTGCCATAAAAGATGTTGGCATTCCATAAGAGGAATTTCTGGTTCTATTACCATCGAAACCGGGTGGTCTAGTTAGTGGGGTGGCAAAATGGGTTTGTGTCCCTGATGGTGGAACGAATCCCCCAGGGTAACCAATGGTTCCAGTATTTCCTAAGATCGAACTATTAGTTGATATGCCACTTACTCCATTAGTGGCTATATTACTGGTGGAGGATGCAACAGACTGTGCATTCGAAGGGATCACATTAGATGTTCCCATCGAAGCGGACACATTAGTGCCTGTTGTATGTGGGGCATTTTGCTCCCCTTGTTGATTGTCAGAACTAGACATCTTGTTCAAACGTTTTCTTCTGGATAAGGGTTGGTTGCTGTTGGTTATTTTTACCACTTCTTAGGTTCATAAAACAACAAACTTATCACTCAGAGGGTCTTTTTATAATGGTTACGTCTCAACAATCTTTTATTTCTGTTCTAAATTTCGTAACGTCCAACGATTGGTCCCACCGGGTGTGCCAATTTGTTTACAGTGATTTCTGGTAAACAACCGCTAGTCCTCCAAACTATCGAATAAACTTACTGACTGTTATTCAATTTCTCTGGTAACTCGCAGGATCGACTAGATTGATCCTAGGACGTGTTGGTCATTAGGGTAACTCTCATGATCGAACTGGTATTCATGGTTGGTATTTAGAATATTGTGTAGGTGTTTAACTTATTTCGATTTATCTATTAAGGATCTAAAGGTGTGATCAAAATAAATGTGCGCGAAACTAAATTGCATGAATAAAGGTCAATTGTAAAGACATGTAAAAACTGCATAAAAGACAAGTAAATGATTTTGAAACGTAAAAACGGTTAATGCAAAAGATTCAAAATATGAAGAAAGCGTTTAATGCAAGAAAATTGTAAAATGGCTTTAAGTGAAAAAGGTGTTCGAAGGATAAAAACTTGAAGATAAAGGCATGAAATGTATAACATTTTCTGAAATGTAAAGTATTTGAAATGGAAAGAAAGCATTTAAATGTAAGGCATCAGTGAAAAGATTTCGAATGAAAGTACTTGAAATGCAAAAACTTGTAAATGGTATTGACATAAAGATAAAGGAAAGTACTGGAAATGATAAAGGGTTTTCATTAAATCATAAACATGTGGTGTTATCATACGTACATTGCTCTTGCATTCGTTTCCCTAGCCATGTGGTAATTTGAATGTTTACTGAGTTTTTTGTACAATAGATATGACACACGAAATCCTAATGCTAAGACTTCTATTTATACTACTTCGACCATAACGGTCTTGCTATAAGATTTTGCCACGTTCAGAACATGCAGGGCAATGCCTCTCTCTTGCTTCCACGTGTCTTCGAATGCTCCAGCGCATATATTTCAAATTTCGAACATCCCGCTTGCATTTGAATTTCAAATGTTTTGGCACTTCTTCGCTTCGAACGCATTTCCTAGACACAGCCTTGTTATCATTTCGAGACTTCTTTGGATATATTCTCATAACTGTCACTCGAAGCTCCAAGCTTTGATATGCCCATTCGAAGCACTGCTTCTACCATTTCGAAACATGACGTTTTGTTTCATTTCAATCGAAACGTCCAATTTGTTTTGCTTCTAATAATATCATCAAAATCTTCAGCCAACACACAACCCCCATATGTTATGACTGGAGAGCCATGTTCTGAACCGTCCTTGCAAATTCTGACTGCACTTGCATAGAGGCTGCCTCAGAAGTTCTGAAATGTCATATTCTCTATACACTTAGAAAATTTTCTAAATGTTTAGAAAATTTGAGTTTCAAAGTAACTTCTGACTTTTGATTTTTTGATGAACCAATTTCATGCCTTAATGAAATATGATTCTTGGAACTTGATTTTTGATTCAAAAGTCATAGTTTGACTCCTTTGGTGTGTAAATGACCATTTTGCCCTTGTGAACGATTCTCTTGAAAATTTTGTAATTTCAGATTTGCAATTGGATGGAAGCAAACTTGAGGATCCCGGGTGATTCCTTGAGAAATGAGAGGGCAAATTTTGGGGTACAACACTTATGTTCTACAAAGGAGATAAAGAGTTTGTGAAGCTTCTCATGGGGGAATTCCATGGTTTTTCTCAAGCTACAAGTCTTATGGCACATCCTGGAAAATGTAGGCTTTACTTTGGTGGAGTCCAATGCAAGGATAGACAATTGATAATGATGGACACTGATTTTTCTGAAGGAATGATGCCCTTTAAATACTTAGGTATTCTGTTATCTAGCAGGAAACTATCTATTAATCAGTGTAGACCTTTGATCGAGCGCATTATTTCCAAGATCAAACATTGGTCCTCTAGACTATTAAGCTATGTAGGTCGGTGCCAATTGATTAGGAGTGTTCTCTTTGCGGCCATTGAGTTATTGGATGAAAATTATTCCACAGCCTCAAAAAGTTATCAAAGAAATTGAAGCGACTTATAAAATCTATTTGTGGAGTGGTAAAGAGATTATTAGTAGGAGGCGCCCATCTCTTGGCACAAAATTTGTAGGCCAAAAACTTCTGGTGGATTGAATATTGTTTCGCTGCAGGTTTGAAACCAGGCTACGATGGGTAAGTTACTCTGGAATATTCATCAGAAAGCTGACAAACTGTGGATTAAATGGCTGGGTATTTACTATTTCAAAGGTAGAGATGTGTTACAGTGGCAAGTTCCTACCTTCTGCTTATGGATTTTGAAGAAGATAATCATGAGTAGAGGGTATGTTTGTTCAACGAATTATTGGGACGATTCGATAGTCAAAGGCAAATACAAAACAAGGCTGATGTTTCAAGCTTTGCGTGGGGACTATGGTCAAGTTAGTTGGGAGAAAGTTTTGCATAATAATCATGCGAGACCCAGAGCAAAATTTACCATGTGGATAACTTTATGGAGGAAGCTGCCAACAAAGGACAAACTAGTAAAGTTTGGAATTAATGTTGATGACAACTGTAGCTTTTGTGACAACTTAGAATCTATTGAGTACTTATTCTTTGAGTATGAGAAATTCAGAAGCATTTGGTAGAAAATCCTGGTTTGGCTCAGAGTGTGCAGAACTCCCATGGGATGAACTATGGAGATGGAGTGGATTATCAAGGAAACAAAAAAAGGGTTGAAAAGACAAGTTCTCAAGATCGCTTTAGCAGAAACTATATATGAACTTTGGAAAAGTAAGAATGATTGGATCTTTTCACATAAAGGTCTTGATGGAAAAATTACATAAAACATTATTCAAAATATTAAGATAAGATGTAGTTTGTATAGAAAATTAAGTATACACATTTATCAATATACATGATTTTAGTTTGTTTTGTTGACCTAGATTCTTGCGATTGGTTTATACCTAATGTTTTGGTGAATAAAGTTTAATGTTTTACTTCCAAAAAAAAATATTGATTAATAATTTTTTTAAATTTTTTATTCCAATCAATAATGCCACCTCACTAAAAATAAATAATTTATCTTAATCACCGTTGCTACATATGCAAAATTAAAGAGGGATTAAAAAAATCTCAATTAAAGAATTAAAAAGCTGAATTTTTTTTGAAAAAAGATTAAAAGATTTAAAATATGTAAATAGGATCAAAACTGCTTTCAAAAATTTGAAAAAACTGTCTCATTTTAAATAAAATTGGATGCGAACTCGTATAAATTGGATACGAACTCGTATAAATAAAAACTTTTAAAAAAGAAATTGACGGTAAAAAATTTGTTTATTTTAAAAGTACTGGTACAAGTGTATAGTTTCAATATACAAGTCCTCGTTTGAAAGAAAAAAACAATTTGGTGGTGCAGTGCAGTCTGGAACTCAACTGCTCGGAAAACGAACCGGAGTTGGCCGTCGACCGTCGGCAGAGCGATTCTGCCGCCGTTAGAAACATATATACATATTCATCTCTCTCACTTTTTGAAGCTATGAAAGAGTTAACTTTAAACGAATCACCTTTCCTTAACCTCTCTATGGATGAGGTAATTTCCGTTCTGTATCAATCTATTCGAATTCAACTAGATGCGTGTTCTAGTGTTATATGTAACAATTTCATATCACCTTTTTAATATGCTATTTGCTTTCATTTTCATTGCATGCAATATTTACTGGCTAACCCTAACAATTTCATTTTTCTTCATACTTGTTTATAGATACTGGAATTGGAAAGAGCATACAATGGTGCTAGAGAAAAATCACTTGATCAGAGTTTCTGCATGGAGATTGCTACAAGTTTGAGGTGAACTCGGTTTTTCTTTTGGTTCACTAGCTTTGTAACAGTGACATCTCTCGAAAATGTGACTGGGTCCGTGTCTGAAACTGACACGGACACTTGTGACTGGGTCGGGGTCTGAAACTGACACCGACACTTGGGACTGGGGTTAGTGTCTGCAAGTGACACTGACACTTGTGATTAGTATTACGTTTAATTATTTATTTTTTAAAATTATTACCGGTGTCAACGGGTCATTGTCAGTGTCGTGTTTCTGGTGTCCATGCTTCATAGATTACTAGTCTATTTATTATCATAAAATAATGTGTCATAAGTGATCTACTTTGATTTTGCAGCTCCTTATCAAATAAAAAATCCTTATCATGGGAACAGGTTGGTAATGCTTTTTCCTTTATCATTTTGACGAATTTTGGAGTGTATGATTTGTAGCATGATGTTATGATGATGTATTGGCTGTAATGGGTTTCAGGTGCAGCAGTGGTTCCATAATAAACATAGAGAGGCGACTGGTCAAGTTGCTTCATCAGTTGAGGGACTGAGTCTTTACGTTGACCTTTTGGATGAATCTTCTTCAAGAAAGGAACATAAGATCTCTCCGAATCCAAAAGGTTGTCCTTTCGCTCTATTTGATTTTAATGTTGCGGTGAATTCAAAAAAGGTAGATAGAAATAAAACATTGGAACACATTCTTGTTTTAGTTATCTGTGACTGTACCTTTATTGTGTTGTCATTACTTAGCATTCATTTGCTTTAGCTTAAATCCCGTTAGTTCCGACAAAGATGAGATTAGAAAATTAGAGAGAATTAAAGGAGAGTAAATATGCTCTGAATCAATTGCTATTCTACTTACATATCACGAGTTATAAATAAAGATGTTATCAGACTTAGATCGGTTGTCAACTCGGTCAATGTACTATGTGATTATTATTGGGCTAACCAGTGAGTAAGTGATCAAACCACATGAACTAGCTTCTGTTAATTTCCTTAGTTCTATATTTATCTTAGTTATTAATAATTTTGCCTTTTATATCAATGTCATCCTAACCAATGTTGTCGAATAGCCGCTATGGAATAGCGGAATTTGGACAAACCGCTATTGTTCCGTGATACATAATTTAGTACAAATATTATCCAATAGCTGCTATTTCAGCGCTATAGCATTATTGCATAGCGGAATTTTAACATTCCACTATAATCCACTATTTAATGCTATCCACAATTGACAACACTGATCCTAAAGTTATGGCCTAGTGGTAAACTGTTTTTTGGAAGCAAGGCAAGCAGTGTCCGAATCAAAAAGGAGACAATTTGTTATTTTAGAAAAAAACTTGTCCTTGCAGTAACAAACAATGAAAGTGCAAGCATGAAGCATTTACATATAGAACCCTGGCCCTTTCAATTGCTCAGGGTAACCTATTGTCTTAGACAAATAATATTTGTTTTATTCACAACAAATATAATATTACATATAACCATATGTTTGATTGATGCTACAATATGTATATACTTATAAAGAGAAGAAAAAATTAGGGCTGAGGTGACTCTCCTTGTCCCAACAAAACTCTGCCCCTGATCGAAGATGATACTGTTTTTACCTCAAATCAAGTAACAGCAATATTGTACATGCCAATCAACAATTCTTAATTTCTGTTAATGAAAATATAACCATTGAACATCTGCAGTTGTTATACTTAATCATGTTTTCTTTTATTTAACTGTGCAAATTGCAGGTCATAGGTTCATAGAATTCATGAGTCATGTCCAGTTTGTTTTGAAAAAATGAGGGACCTGAAGAAAATAATAATAATAATAGCATACCAAAAAAGAAATCCTGATAATAGTAGTAATAATGATAATAATTATCACAGTTTTATTAACCACACAAGTTTAGCCTATTTTCATAAAGCAATCGAGAGGAATGATGGGCAATGCAAAGTTAATAAATGATGATCGGCACGGTCTGTGCAGATATGTGGATAAATTATAATTATAAATTCCACAATATAATTAGAATTTCTGATCATAGTGTTGTGATCCCAACTGCGGGATCCTACTTCCTAGCCCATGGCATAGAAAGTTGAGTTAAGAAAATAAAAGAGGAACGAAAGAAAATGTTGATGTGGAAGAGAGTAAGGTAAAGGGTGCTATTCGTGTGAGAGAATCTGGTTATATAGGGATTCAAATTTCAATAGAGACGGATGGGTATCTTTCGGAAAAATATTTTCTGTGATAGTTATGGGCAGAGAACACTGCTCTCTATATGAGCGTGGTTTGTAGGCATCAGGGATGTTCACACTTATCCAGTTATCCTTTTTTTTTTCAATAATACAAGTAGTTTCATATTTCCAGTGATTTCCCCCTTTTTTCTGCTATTTACTTTTCTTTGATTTCTGGTTCTTAACACATAATGCCAGGTATTAAAGCAGAAGATCTGTCAGAATTGGGATATGAATCAATATCTATAAAAGACAAAGCATGGTGAGGAACAAAGTTCTTATTAAGCTGCAGTTTTATTTTGAGTTTATTGTGCATTGTGACATTTTTAAATATCTCGGATTACGTTATAATTATACGATTTGGTCTGGGTTTTTTTTTTGGCACTGTACTAAGAACAAGATTAAAGATGAGGTGTTCCCACCAACTAACCTTTACCCCAAAAGGATTTTCTTTAAACACTCTCCAAACCCCTCTCCCCTTGACAGACATGAAGCCTTTTATTGTTAGACAGTTAGTTAGATATTCACCCACCATTTGGTGATTTTTTTATTCTTTTCCAATTACAGGCATGACGTTGCAATGTTTCTAAACTATAGGGTTCTAAGCACAGGCGAACTTGTAAGTTTCTTTTGTATTTTTTGTTGTTAAGAAACTGAATTGTTGTTTTGAATTTCTAATTAATAAAGGAGTAATAGTTCCTTTCATGCCTGCAACACTCTCCTTATTTTACTTAAAGTACCCATCTTTATATTTACTTCTTTTTTGTGCTTAAAACATGGCGGCTGACTATTAAGCTTGTTTTTTTTCTTTCATTTGAATTTGAACTGTGCATGTTAGGCTGCCATAGTGTATATAGAATATTTTGTCTCTTTCAATATGGTGATATTGAAAATGAAGAAAATCTCTAAACTTTTTTAAGCAATAGAAACTCAGCCGTTAAAAGTGGATGTCAAACTTTGGACATGAGAGATAATGAAGCAAAAACGCAAAAAAACCATTGATAGGAAAGACCTCAGGCAGAGGAGAATCAAACTTACTATGGTATCAAATTGTACTATATAAAAATGGTGTCATTACTGCTAAACTGCTCAAGCTCAAAACCATGCACAGGCAGGGCACAATACCAAGCAAAGCTAGATACTAAACCAGAATAGGAGGGCAGTTTCAGTTTGTTGCCTCCCATGCACAGTTCGGTTGAAGGTGTGTGGAGGTAGAGTTTGTGTTTTAAGATGTGGGTCTGTTTTTTATCTTAGTGTTCCTTTGAATAGGTCCATGGGAGTTTTAATCTTTGCTTAGTATCTGGTCACATCTCGTGGCTGGGTATTCATTCATTAATACATGTTCAATTTTCTGATACAAAAAAAAACAATAACCAGCAGGAGTACCGGACCATACCTCAAGTTGGGCTTTTTTGTCAATAGTACTTGAGGGAAGCTGATTATGAGAAAACAAGTTGTTGAACTTGTGGCTGCTTCAGTCCAAAATGATTTCCCCAAACTAGCATAAGAAATCATGAATCTAAATTTTTTCACTATAGTCATGTCCATTGGTGCTATGCCATTTTGTTGCAGAATACAACAAATTCTATGATGCCTTTCAATTCATTAAGCCCTTGCATTAAGCATCAAACTCTAGATGGTCCCAAAAAGATCCTAGTGCTGATAGTCAAGTGTTCCCCTAGTGTTATGTATGCTTTTGACGAATCTAACTTGTTTCTTCTTCCCAAAAATGCAATGTTACATAACTTCAACTTACTAATACTTTGACCATCAAGAATTCCTTTTGTGCTCAACTCAGCCACTCCATTTTCACTCATACTCAAGACACATATGCCGCAGTTTAGTAACATTATCAAATAGTACTAAGGGGATGATGCGAGCGTGTCTTCAAGAGAAAAAGGCATTCTAAAATGCAAAAAACCCCAAATAGTACTATGAATTAAGAGTACTTGTAAAACTAACCCAAAAACATTAGAAATCCATATAGCACTTCAGAAAAAAATTCATTCTTGGGTCTAGCGGGGGAGGAATTGGAGTTGCACGGGTAGAACGCACATTAGACGCGGGCATGCATTAGCTATAGTGCACTTCTGAAGTGCTTGTGCTGAATAGTGATTCTACAAGCAGAAGAGCTCACTTTCATAGACAAGGGCCTACCTTGTTACAATAGCACGACCTTCATCAAATGGGCCATCTCACAACCTTTCCTGGATGGACCAGGAATTCAGGTCAACAACTCTGACATTGTAAGATAGGGTAGTCTAGAAACTCAAGGCAAGAACCTTTAAAATATGTTCGTATGAGTGAGAAACTAAGTTGTGGAAATGAAAAATGAAAATTCAATTATTTTCCCACTAAATTCGCAAGTTATTTGAATGCTGAAGTTTACTTTTCATTTTAGTGAGACACTTTATTTCCAATATGATTTTCAAAACCATTGTTTCGGATATTTCTGTTCATTTAATAATAGTGGAAAAGTCAAAGAACTATTCTGCAACCTATATTTGTATTCATGTGAACAGTGTAAGTTATCCTGCTGTCTTATGATGGTTGCTCAGACTTTGAGATGCTCTTTTGGTATATTATGGGCAACCAATCGAAGCTAATGTATCTTGTCATATGATTTAAGGAAGCTCGTGTACGATATCTTGGATTTGGTAAGGAGGAGGATGAATGGGTCAATGTGAAAGACGGGGTGCGAGAGAGATCCATCCCACTGGAAGCTTCTGAGTGTCACAAGGTGAAGGAAGGACATCTTGTATTGTGTTTCCTGGTAATGGTCCAACCTTTTTGCTGTACTACATAAACATAATGTGTGTCCAGTTGTCACATGATTGATGCTGTGTTTATGTGCAGTCAAATTCTTTTTGCACCCCTTACAAGACGTGAACTTTGAGAACAAAATTTCAGCATGTTCGACGCACATACAAACACACTGAAATGTTTGCTATATGACTTGTGTCCAATATATCAATCTAGATGAATTTTTTTTCTTCTTCTTTGAACTAATCCATAAATATGTCATACTCTTTTGACCCTTCATTGTTTGTTCACAGGTAAAATCTGATTATGCCCTCTACTGTGATGCCCGTGTTTTGAGAATCGAGAGGAGGGTACATGATAGCAAAGAGTGTACCTGCACCTTCACTGTCCGGTTTTACCATGACAATTCTGAGGTGATCTTTGATATCTTTCCTTCTTTTTAGATAGAATCATTCCATGTCATCAATATTCTTGCTGTTATCTTTGGTAGTTGTTAGTAGGTAAATCCTTGGATGTGTTACCTTTACCTGATGTTGATTCATGCGTATCTTTCGCAGGAAGAGGTTCGTTGGGACAATTTGTGCTGTAGACCAACACAAGAAGAAGCTGAGGTCCCCTTAGAACCTTTCATGGATCCCATAGCGACCTTATGGGGATGAAAAAACAATTTTTGTTTCATATCTCCCCTTTCTTTTTGGGAACTGTATTTCTTGTCTCCCTACCATGTAAGATAAGAAGAATTTGAATTTTGAGGCTGAAATAAATTATTTGACCATGTATTTTAATCATGTTGTTTTGATTTTTTTCCCCTTCTAGATCCTTTGTCTGTCTATCAAAATGTTACTTGAAAGTTGATATGAAGTTATTGCTACCAAAAGATCAGGAAAAAAAGAAAGAGAATATACAAAATTTTGACCAGCTAATATTTTTTATGGAAAAAAAAAAAGACAATTGCATGCAAATGCCAGCATTTAGGATACAACTTTGGCAAGATATCAAACAATAGGTTGCATAACGTGCATAACGAATAAAGGTTTTTTAACTTCACAATCGCCTCTTATGGTCAGTATGGGTTTAATGTGTGAATTTTTTTTTTGGAATAACCATGTAGTAAAAAATTTCGTAAATAATCATGTTTCAGAGAAAATTATGCAAATAATCATGTTTTAGAAAATTTTCCAAGAGAGGAACCATCTCACTTGACGCCTACACCTTATTTTAAAGGGGAGGCGCCATCTCACTTGGTGCGTAGGTGTTAAAGGCTTGTCCTAAGTCAAGTGAGATGGCGCCTTAGTGCAATTGGGAGGTAAATTTTCGCGTTTTTCATTTTAAATGCGGTGCGTTATGTATTCGATATAGGATCAACAAAATTGACTTTTTATTTACAAAATATGATTACACACATAACGATGACATAAAAAAATACAGATTAATCAGTGATCTCTCGGAACCCGGTAATGACCCTCGGTTCCGCATCCCCGTCCTCGCCTTTCCCGTGCTGGGTTTCGTCGCGTTTCCTGTTGTGGCAGGGTCGATGGCCCAGCGAAGTCAATGCGTTCCGGATCCATGAAATCAGTCAGATCTCCATATCTAGAAGATCTGCTTTGGTACAGTCTGTTACCCATACCCTCAAAGTTTGGTCGTGTTGGTGGTGGATGGGGTTTCATGGTTGGTCTGTAGCACTGGTCGTCTGAGTATGTTGGGTGCTTTGGTGATGTTGTGGTTGATGGTAAGTTTGGTCGGTTGGTTCATAATCTTCGGACAATCCCAGATCAGGGCTAAGGTTGGATGTTGAGGGGCCCATATTGGGATATGCAGAAGACTGAAATTGTGTGTGGGGTATGCGGGTGTATTGGTATTGTGATTGAAATTGTGGTTGGGTGTGAGACATATGAGGGTATTGGTACTGAGGTGGTGATTGTGGTTGGTTGTGGGGCATGTGGGTGTAATTGTATTGTGGTGGTGACTGTGGTTGGGTGTTTGTGGTTCTGTTTCGCCGGGGGGTTGGTGGGAGGTTGATGTGTGTTGGGTTTGTTGTTGGGGAAATGAGGGTTGTGCCCATTGTGTTCGTGGGTCAAACAAATACCTTGGACGAGACACGTGCATTTCAGGGGTACTAACCGATCTGTACCAAGATAAATACTGATCCGTGTGTCGCATATTACCATGATTGAAGAAAACTGGGAATTGCAAGACATGTCGGTGACGCCTCTGCCACATCTTACACCATTTTGGAGCAAAGTCTTTACAGTTGGTAAGACCCCATTGGGCGTCGACCCATTTGAGATGCCACGGGGACAAACAAGTCGGATCGCTGGGTATCTCTTGATGCATTCCAAACTGCATCTTGACACGGTCGCTGTGGTGCATCTCCACAACATTGAACCGTATGATTGTAGTCTTTGCGCTCCAAATTGATGCATCCTCGGGGTTTGGTTCATGGTTCAAACTCAAATATGGTCTCCAGACAAACTGCGGATAAAATTAAATCAGGTTAATGAAAACATAATAAATAAATAATTTAAAAGTAGAAAAGTTGAAAGGTACGACGTACATCATCCAGGCCAAGGTGATCCAATAAATTGCGGTATAGAGCGGCATTGAATCTTGGATTCTTTCCGTAATCCATATCCCTCACGCAATACCTAAAGCAATTGAAAAATATTTTATTTTTATCATATATTTGGTGAAGAGATGAATAGTAATAAATGATATAAGTTGATGACTTACTTTGTTGCGTATGGGAAAACGAATGTGTTGTTGTTGACGGGGTTTAGGGACTCCATCCTCCACCAACCCCAGGCTTGAAGTAAAAAAGCGCAGCCATAAAATATACATTTTTTCTTGATTGCATTTTTACACAAGGAACTGTATAGATGGGCTAAAACAACAGAACCCCAACTATACTTTCTAGTTTTTTCGAAGTCTCTAAGTAAATTTAAATACATAAAATTTACACTATTTCCCGTACTTTCGGGAAATAAAAAGGTTCCAAATAGTATCATTATATAATTTTTAGCTTTTATTACCTTAACTAGCTCGGAAGAATTTTCGTTCAATTCCAGAGTTGCATAATGATTTTTTAGCTTAGTAAGTAGTATACCCTGATCTCTCGCACCACCACCTTCAACCATATCCCTGCCCAACAATTCGTCACATAGAGAATTGAGTTGTTGAACCGACCCGTTAACTGCCTTACCATCGACAGGGAGATCCAATAACATGTACACATCCTCTAGTGTGACGGTACATTCACCTATTGGTAGATGAAATGTATGGGTCTCTGGTCTCCACCTTTCCAACATTGCAAGTATGAACTTTGAATCAATTGTGCAGTTGAAGATCTTTTCGTTAACAATATTTGTTACAATAAACATTGCGCGAACAAGAAATAAAACACGATAAACAGTCTACGAAATTACAATCGTTAAAACAATTTCATCTGACCCATGCATCATCAACATTACGTCGTTGTCTGTTTTGACTTCCTCCAACAAAAAATTAGGTCTTCCTGTCGCAAGTGAGGTTGTTGTTCGTCTTCGTTGGATCCTTCTAATTTGTTTCCCCTCCTCGATGTCTCCCTCTAGCCATCGCATTAACTCCCTCTTCAGACGCTCCATGGAGTGAATGTGCCAGAATTTCATTTTCATCGGAGGTTTTGTGGCGGAGAAAATAACGTAACCATCTCTGGTAAAAATCATGGGCGATGTCATGACGCAAATAACAGAGTAAAAAATAAGAGAACAATGCGAGAAAGTGTGAGGAATGACGGAGAAACGGACGAATTATTTATAAAAATAGCATTTTGCCCTAGGAGCCAAGTGAGATGGCGCCTCCTCTCACTTTTAAAGTGCATGCGCCATCTCACTTGGCTAAAAGAGAGAGAAGGCGCCAAGTGGGATGGCGCCTAGGGCAAGAAGGGGAGTGAATGCGCCAATTGGGTTGACTCCTTCCTTGTGGAGTTTTCTGAAACATGGTTATTTGCGAATTTTTTTTAATACATGATTATTCCAAAAAAAATTCTTAATATGTTAGTCTTTGTTTGCGAGTTTGGAGACGGAAAACTTTCAAAAAGGATTTTTTTTTTTAAATATAGAAAAATATTTAATATTTTTTGAAAAAACGATTTTGTATAGAATGATAAAAGAGTATTTATTATTATTATATTTTTAATTTTTAGAATATTATAATAACATAAAAGATATTTGAAAAATTTATGTAAGATTTCTAAAATTGTTTTTAAATATAAATTTTGTGTTCTTCTAAATTAGAGGGTTTTTAATGTTAAAAATAAAAGTAAACTCTCCAAAACTCTTCAAACTAAAATCTTTCAATTCTTTAAACGTATTTTTTTTTCTTTTTTTCAAAATCATTTCCTCTCTTTCCCCTTCAAATTTGCAAACAGGTCTTTAGGGTTTGATTGGGAGGAGAAGACTTTGAAAAAAAGTGTTTGTTTTCATTAATAATATCAAACGTTTTTTAATTTGAGAAACTCAAAATTTATACTGAAGAAAGATTTTATAGAATTTATATAAAATTTTAAATATATTTTATGTTGAGTGTATTATATGTGTTGTGTGAGAGAGAAAATAAGTAAACAAATTTATTTAACTCAATTAGTAATTAAGTATATTTAATTATCATTTTTTCAATAACAAATTTATTTAACTCAATTAGTAATTAAGTATATTTAATTATCATTTTTTCAATAAAATATTAATGTAATGAAAGACAATGCAATACTTTTTATTTATTTGGTGTCTCTGATAACCGGTACCGTTAACATTTATTTATTATTATATAAAAACACAATTTAAAAAAAATATTAAAATTTCATTTTTTTTCTACAAATCCACTCAAAATATTTCAAACTCCCATTCAAAGCTTTATAGAAGTTACATACAATTTTGAATCTAATAAAGTGTATTCTCCTCAAGCAGTATGAGAATATTGTTGGAAATCCACCAAAGTCTATGATGAATTTTTACCACAATGACAATTTAATTATGAGACAAACAAAGAAAAGAAGACAAGACAAATAATTTCTGCAGAGTTTCTCTCTGCTCACAAACTGTGAAAACTTTGTTATTCACTTGCAACTGCAAATTCTGTGAATACAACTTGCTTGACTTGCTTACAAAAATAGGGGTTACTCCCTCTATTTATAACTGAGCTTACACCTTAAGCTCAAAGCCCAAAATATCTTTTTGTTACTAAATCAAATCTAATTTATTCTAGACTTAAATCAAATCTATTTAGATCTAAAACAAATCAAATCTTTTCGACACATAGTTTCGACACACTGGATTACAATTTAACACACCACCTAATTCATTGTGTCTAAACTATCTATGTTCATCATGGCTCTTAGCTTTCTGAATACTTCGACTTGCACTCCCTTCGTCATGATGTCTGCAATCTGATTCTCAGTTCTGCAGTGTTCCAAATTCATCTTCTCATCTGCTACCTACTCTCGAAGATAATGGAATCTCATTTCGATGTGCTTACTTAGACCATGTGCTATTGGATTCTTCGCCAGATTAATAGTTGACATGCTGTCTATCTTCATGGTAATTGCTCCATGATTTTTCCCTATTATCTCTTCGACCAAGTTTACCATCCAAGTTGCTTGACATGCACAAAGAGAAGCAACTATGTA